GCTTCCGGTTAGGACCTTTGCTGCTCTTTGATTGTTTAAGGTTGCCAACCCCTGATCTAGAGTGTGTGTGTGTGTGTGTGTGTGTGTGTGTGTGTGTTTGTTTAAACCATTTATAGAGCTTCCCATCTCACAACAGCAACTCTGGGAAGCATACAAAGATTAAATCCACCTAACAATATGTTCCCCATGATGCCCAGATTAAAACAATAACCCTCAAAACAAAACCACATCACAACAAAACTCACCTAATTTACTAGCCTAAATGACTGCCAGGACTTAAGACTTACGAAAAGTAGTGCATATTGGAGGTGGTGACCCTTTGAGAGCTGTATGCAACGAAATTTCATTTTAATGTATGCCGATTAGTGTACATTCAAAGTGACAATAAAGTTATTCTAAGTCTAAAAGCTAACAGAATTAAACCCATCTAAATCTCTGGGAGGGATTGCTGTTCCTCAGTGCAGGCACGGCCCCAGAGAATGCATGTATTTACACAAAAAGATACCTTTAAAAATATTTATTTGCCTTTTTTTTTTTAGGTCCAGAATTTGACTTTGCGGAGTCAGAAGCTGGGTGTATTGTCTACTTCTCAAAACGGAACGCCCAAAAACGCTAGTCAACCCCAGACATTAGCTGTGTGTCCTAGCAAATCTGTAACCGGTGCCAAAGCCAGCCAATCAGATCTAGAAAGCAAAAGGAAAGGAGACAGCCCAAATGCTGAGCCTCGAAGTCCAGCTGTTACCCGTACGTCAAGTATTCATCAGTTAATGGCACCAGGTAGGACAATCCAACAGCAGGACATCCTTAAAAGCCCACAGAAGGATTTTTAAGGATGCTCTTTTACAGTTAAGACTTTTGTTGAAATGTTTGTCCATTTGTTGCTACCCCAGTCACAAGTACCAAAACCACTTGATTTGTAGGCATTATTATGTCAGATGGTTTGCATCCAATAATATGTCGGCTAGGCTACAAAACCTGAATCTCTACGGAACTAAAGGATGCTCTTCATTGGTGGGGACCCATTTCATGCGAAGCCCTTGGACTAAGGGAGCAGAAGTCTCTGCTCTCTTTTCTCTGACTCTTTTGTATCTCATATGTTGTTATTGACTAGATAGTTACGATATTAGGGGCATGGATCACATTTTTCCAAAGAAGAAATCTGATGTGCCTGAATAATTAGATATGGGAAGTCAGCATTTACAATATTTTAATTTATTAAAGAAAGCTAAGAAAGAAAAGAAATGAATCCCCTGTGTATCAACATTTGAGAAGGTTTTGCCACTTAACAACCAATTGAATTGATTAGAAGAAATTTAGTACTTCGGTACAGAATTCAATAAATTCAGAAATCAGTCAGCATCAAATGTTAGATTCAAAGTTCTAGCTGACAACTATGGGCCACGATGGCACAGTGGTTAGAGTGCAGTACTGCAGATTACTTCTGCTGACTGCCAGGTGGCTGCAGTTTGGCAGTTCAGATCTCACCACGTTTAAGGTTGACTCAGCCTTCCATCCTTCCCAAGTGGGTAAAATGAGGACCCAGATTGTTGGGGGCAATATGCTGACTCTGTAAAGCGGCATGTAAGTCTAAGTGTTATTGCTATTGCTATCCTTGAATTACTTGTAGAGTTTAGGCAGCATAAATAACCCAATACAATATTTCCCTTGCACTCGATCCAATAATCCAGAAAAATCATTCTCATTGCTTTCTTTTATTGTTTAATAAAATAAAGATAAAGTAGATTTAGTTCTTGTTGTTAAAGTTCAAAGCGAGACATCTATTTTAAGTCACTTAAGGTACAAGATTTTTTTTCTTGCTCTGAATGTGGTTTTTTTACTTAGTAATTCAGTTGTATAGATCCTTAGATAAAGCTGCTCATGTTAAAGATTTCTAAAATTATTTTTTTAAAAAAACCAAATCAAAACATACTGGGGATTAATTTATTCAAACTTACTGTAAGTTTAATTGTACATGATCACAGATGTCTTTCTCTTAAGGCTTTGTCAAATTTAAGTAATGTTAAATATAATGGGTATTAAGCAGCAAACAGGTAAATCTACGTACAGATATTGATATTTATCTGAAAATAAGCATATTTTAATGGCTTTCTGTGCTCTTAAAATAAATATTAATTGTAAATCTTTCCATTTTTATTGTGTAGCCTCATATTCTCCGATGCAACCTCATTCCCTGTTAAAACATCAGCACCTCCCCCTTCACTCGCCACCTTCCAAGCTCTCTCACCATCAGCTAATCTTTCAGCAACAGCAAGTCCAACCAATCACACTCCAGCTGCCTCCCAGCCACGAAGCCACCCCGTCCCAGCACTGTGCCCCCCTTCAGGGCCATCCTCTGACTCCAGATCCCGCCATTACCCCATCCCAGCACTGCACCCCTGTCCATGTCCATCCTCCTCCACTTTCTCCAACCCCATCCCCATCCCCACAACAATCTGTTGTAGTATCTCCGCTGCCCCCTACTTCGCCCAGCCAATCCCCCAGTATAATTATCCACCCCCAGACTCTTATTCAGTCCCATCCACTGACATCGTCGGCGCTCCAGTCCGAACATAACTCGGTGCAAGCTGATGAGAGTTCAACAGAATCAACCTCACAGTCCGCTGCTCATCCGCCCCAGTTGTCCCCTTCCCCATTAGTCCACGGGGGACCAGCAGACCGGCCTTCCATGCTGTCTCCCAGCCAACAGATGTCATCGCCATCATCTCATCAACCATACCCAACATTGCACCCAGCGCCAGTTCCACTTGCAACCTCTCCACAGTTGTCATCAACTCCAGCCCACCCTCAACAGATGAGCCTTCCTCCTGTTCCATCTTTGCAAGTCCAGCCTGAACTTTTGTCCCAAGATCAGGTTTTGGTACAAAATACCTTAGTTTCTGAAGAGGAGCTTCCCGCTGCTGAAGCTTTGGTCCAGCTGCCACTTCAGACTCTTCCGCCTCCCCAAACGGTTGCAGTAAACCTCCAAGTGCAACAAGCAGTACCTATTGAAACCCCAGTGGTAAGCCTCTGGAGAATGACTTCCATTCTAGTTTTAAAACTGTGTGAAAGATGGACAAGTGAAAGTTATCTGGAATATTTATTGGCATTAGGTTCCTGCCGAAGAAGCAAAATTTTGAAGGATTGTAAGCACTGTTGTAAATAGGGATTGTGCAGAGCTGTTGAAGGCAGACTGAGGTAGAGCATTTTGTACCGGAGAAGCAAATCCATCCCTTGGAGCATTAAAATGACACTGTCCTTCAGAAAGCTCATCGTAATTGTTTTAGCTATACTGAGCCTTCTGAAGAGAGTAGCTGTTTTAATGCTTGGAGGGAGAGGTGCTTTGCCTGCCCTGTGTGCTTGGCAATGCCCCCTTACGGATGCTTTGCAAAGCTCTAATGAAATTTTGTAAGCACTTGTTTGCTTGAGAGGTAATTGATGATGCCATAATTAATTTTGCCTGTATTTTCCTCCTAAAATGTCAATGGATTTTATCAGGGATGATTCCCAATTTGAAAAGTTTTAGGCATTTTCTCTTTACAGAAATATGAGTTTATATTCCGTGTTCATAGTTTTTCTTTACTGATATATTTCTATCCACCGAGTTACCAGGATTCTGTGGATGGTTCAAAAAATGAAGGGATAATAATTCCATTTAAAGTAGCTAATTTTAAAAAAACAGTGTCAGATTTCTGATTGATTTGTTTATCCCAAGAAACAAGTTTAGGCAAGACAGGTTCACAGCAAAAACATCTTCTAAATCAATTTCTTGTGTGTGTGTGTACTTACGTACACATACACATACCTTATTTTTTGGAGTATAAGACGCACCAAGGTTTTGAAGCGGCAAACTGCAAGCCTCCCAAAAACAGCCCATTTTTCGCAAAAACGGAACTGGTTTTTTGTCAAACAAAAAGGGCATGAATAGCCTTTAGGAAGCTTATAGGATGCTCCTGGGGGCAGGGGGGAATTGAGGAAAAAACATCCCGTTTTTCCTTGTTTCTGCCCTCCCCAGCCTCCAGGAACACTCTGAAAGCCTCTTACAGGCTCTGCACAACCATTTTGGTGAAGGAGGTGGGGTTTCAGGAGGCAAAAAATGCTGTATTCAGTGTATAAGACACACCCAGATTTTCAGCCTGTTTTTAGAGGGAAAAAGGTGTGTCTTATACTCCGAAAAATACGGTATATATTTGTTCTATTGTAAATAGTTTGAGTATTTAATTTGATTCAATCTAATTCATTTAGCCTGCTATCTNGCCTTAGTTGTTACAATGTAATAAGGGTTAATCGGAGAGGCAGTTTCTGTAAGCCGGGCAATAAAGATTAGGCTAGAAACAACACCAGAATGTTTTCTTCCTGCGTCCCTTACAGGATTAGCCCTGTAAAGTGGAAAAAAACCAAATTATACTACACTTGATCTTAGCCAAAAGGCCGAGAAGCGATTGAGAAGCATTGAAAAAAGTGACTTATGACCATTTTTCACACTTAAATGACCGTTGCGACATCCCCAGGGTCACGTGATCAAAAATCAGATGCTTGACAACTGGTTCATATTTATGACAGTTGCCATGTCCCAGAGTCACGTGATCATCTCTTGTGACCTGACAAGCAAAGTCAATGGGGAAACCAGATTCACTTAACAACATGTTACAAACTTAATGAAGGCAATGATTCACTTAACTGCAGCAAGAAAAGTAAAATGGGCAAGCTCACTTAACACATGTTTCACTTAGCAACATACGTTTTGGGCTTGATTTTGGTCGTAATTTGAGGACTACCTGTATTTGAAATCCACTCCTTGTTGCCAATGCAAAGCTTGCCAGTTTAATTTAGGCTATATTCTTTTTCTCAGCTAAAACAATGCTATTATTTTCAACATTTGCCATATCACTGACATGGTGTATATTAAATTCTTGCTATTGTGAAACCTGACCCTGGTTTGCTTTTCTGTCTTGTTTTGAAAATAGCCAGATTTCTTCAATATTAGATATATTTTTTTTGTAAATCTAGTACAGGGGTCAGCAACATGTGGCTCTTTCATCCCTCTGCTGTAGCTCCCTGTCGCCAGTTGGCTCCACAATTAATCAGGCTTTTGGTTAGGACAGGTAGAGGAAAAGAGATGCCACACTAGGAGGAGACTCTACGGTGGGGGAACCGGACTTCCGTTCGGCTGCAGAATTGAACAGGGAGCTTCCGGTTAGGACCTTTGCTGCTCTTTGATTGTTTAAGGTTGCCAACCCCTGATCTAGAGTGTGTGTGTGTGTGTGTGTGTGTGTGTGTGTGTGTNTCCTCCTCCTCCTCCTCAGGTTGTTCATGATTGAGAACATTTCTTACTAATTTGTATTAGTTAATGAGCAATAACCTCTGTGATTGAATAAAAGCTACAAGTATGTGACAGGGTATGATAATTCCATCTTTTCCATTATAACTTGATTGCAGCAAAACGGTTAGCTTCTGGGTAAAGAGGAGAATACATTTCTCCTAAATATTGGGATGAACAGCTTTGCCTAACAAGTTATTAAATTTTTAAGCAACTGGTGGTATGAGGTGAGGAAATGCAACAGGATTTGGTTCCAGCCTGTTTGCATTGGACCACCTGATGTCACCGGGATGGAGTCAAATGCCTAAACAACATCCCCAAGGAAAGCGCTTTGCAACAAATGCTTCAAAAGCCAAGGTCGTTTGAAGGGATTCTTTTCTGAGGATCATGCTCCCTCTCATCATGGAAAGTATGGGGCAACCAATGAATAACAGTCGAAGGACGATAACGTCCTGCTTTAGATGTGTGCAGGTTACTGAAAGATATTTTTTTTTTGTACTATTGGAGTGGATCTTGCGGGCTGCCCTGCCCCATCAATTTGGAACCCAAAAGAGAGCTTCTCTTTCAAATGGAGTCAATGTAAGGAGAGATGGAGATATGTATACTTCCAAATGGTGGAGATATGGATGCTTCCAAATGTTCTCTGAACCATTAAAGCATAGAAAACCTATTATGGGTTTATCTTGAAATGCCACGATCTTCTGTTATGCCCTCTGCTGTAACAATGACTTTTCTGTTGCTCATTGTTTTGAGCTAGAAAGGGGTTGTATAAACAAGATTGTTAGAAAAATCACGTTCCAAATTATATGCTAGAGCTAAGTGGCATTTCAGTCAGTATATTAGGAAAGATGCAAAGAAAAAAATTAGGGGAACTTACAGCAAAAATATGTATCGAAGTAATTGCGTAAGCTGCGTAGAAAAATATGCATATTGCAAAAATATGTCTTATTGTACTACTGCAGATTTTCAAACTCTGTTTAGAAAAAAGTTTGCCAAAAATTAAATTGAATGTAGTACCATTTGAATACCTTTAGTATTAGCGCCTGGTAGATTTATAAGCCACGCCTCCCTCCCACCTCCCAAAAAATTATCCTGAATTCCCACCCCCAACCCCCAGATTCTTTGTTCTTTGCTTTTTCTCATTAGTTTTCAATACCCTTTTATGGGGATGGTAGAAATCTGAACGGCTATAACCATGCCGCACCTCTTTTTTTTTTTGCATAGTTGTTTATTTATTGTGCTTTTTGTTTCTTTTTTTTCCCGAATCCTTGGACAATAGGATGGTAAAGCTAACTTAGGACTTGGCTATCTGTAATGGTTTGTTTGAAGTGATCAATAAACAGCCTGTCTCCCCCCTCACTTTTTTTTATTCTTTTTTTTATTGATGAGCTTGCCCAGCTACCCTGGTTCAATTCAGTGCGTTATTGCTTGCGGTTGGGTTGCAATGGTGGTGTCGGATGCGCCAGGAAAGAATGGTTTAGGCGCCTACGCTGGGGTCATGAGAGTAACATGAGAGGGAAGAGTTGGTTCTTACAGGTTACAAAGCAGCCAGTCGACCAGTCCACATTGAGGCCTGCATCCTGACATGCCATCCGTCTGTTGTTTCTCGTAATACTTCATTACTTCCTGAACAATATCTCCCACACTGTAGCCTTTCTTGACGGCTTTATCAGCCAGCTGTGGAAGTCTGTTTAGGTCTCCATTGTGCTCGTTCATGAAAGTCAGGTTTGGCACGTTGAATTGTGAAGCAACCAACCACTGGAGCACAGCTTGCAGTTCTCTGTTTTGGGTACTGTTGTTGCAGTTCTGGTTGTTCACAATCACCTCGGATCCTGAACCTACCAAAGGTCTCCCGTTGCATCTTCCATCAGATTCATTGCCTTTAGCCATCAACATGCACAACTTCATCACAGATTCCACCAGCTGGTCAATAAATTGTCTGTTGATCTGTTCCATGTTGTCATACATCTCAGGGCATCCATTTGATTTTGGTGGGGGCCTTTGTGGTCTGCACTCAGCGAAAGAAGGTTGTTTGTAGCCTTTGTCAAAACTCTCGTCGGAACAGCCAGCTTCTCTTAATACTTTCTGGATGATTGACAAAAGGATACTTGAGATATCACATTTTTGTGATTCCAGGCTATCCTGCCTTCCTCCACTTGGCCTTGAACCATATTTGGAGCCTCCAGTTCTGTCATGGACATAGCCAAACGATGTAGTATTTGACTCCCGGCATCCTTGGTCTTTGTTTTTTTCTAACAGATGTTGCTGTATTAACATTAATGCTGTTACGATAAGGTCTTTAGCATACACATCCATTGAACAGTGCTTATCTGAACCCTTGCTTCCGGATGGAAGAGGTCTCATCTGTCCGTTTCCTCTGCCACCTAGAGGGCCATGCATCTCGCCCTTAAGTGATGCGAACTGAAGTCCTTGAGATCTGGAGTCACAATGAGTACCAGCTTTCAGTGCTGCAAAAGCTAAGCTTTGAGATTTCTTATCGTCCCCTGAAAGGGCTTTAAATAAGCGTTTCACCATCGCTTCCAGAATCTCCGTTGATTTCTGGGTCCCAGCGTTGAAAAGGTTCTTCTTCACAGTATTGATGAAATCCGAATCTGTCATGAGCACCCCTGTTACATTGTGTAAGTTCTTCATGGTGGAATCGATTAAGTCAGATATGACGTCTCTGGTGTGTTTGAGGAGGACTTTCTTTAACACCACACAGGCTGGTGGAGGATGCTTCCCCTTTTGGACTTTCATTGTTTTCATGAACGAGAACATCATATCTGAAGCAACCTGGTTTGCATACACCATCAGTCCCTTGCTGCAAGACCCATCATCTTGTGCTGACTGTTTCCTTTCCAACATTTGTCTGTCTGCTCCTTGGTTGTAGCCATTTTGCTTGCTCTGATTAGACATCTCACCGTAAAAGAGTGAGGTCTTTCTTGGGTCATCCTGAGATGGTTTGGGAGACAGCTTGGCATAGTCTTCCCCATTCTTGCCGTTAGATCCTCGGATGGACTGACGAATGCATCTTCCGCTGCTTTCCAGTTTATCCTTCATTTCTTTGTGTGCCATTTGAACCACTAAGGAACAAAGCTTGTTAACGTAATATGAAAGGTCATCTCCTCTCTGGCTACAAGAGCCTCTGAATGACGTGTCGCTTCCCTGGGACATCTTTTCAATTGTAGGTGATTCGTAAGCTGATTTACGAGGGCCAGAGGGCCTTAGTGCATGCTTGAATCCAATTGCGTATTTCTGAAGGTCGTTGCTGAGCCAGCTCACAACGTTAAGTTCTTCAGAGGACCCTTGTTTGAAAAGGCAGACCGCTCCTTCAGTATTGCTGTGCCGATTGTGTTCGTTGTCCTTGATCACAATGACTTCTTTTTCTTCAAGATTACTTAGGTCAACGCAAGGGTCAGTGGCACTTCTTTTACGTCTGTTTCTATCCTTTATGTTAAGGTTGGCAACATCTACAAAACAGATAACTTTACGATCTTGATCCCTTTCTCCTTCACGGCTGTATAGGTCTACTTTGCAAAGGCCAGATTGACTGTGTAACCAGTCAATCTCATGAGCCATACTATTTAAACGGAACCAGAATAGAAACCCGGGTCATCGACCGCTCTTATTTCAGTTTTTGTTGACCTTGACCCTGCCCCACTCAAGATGTTGCCTCCTCTCTTAGCTTTCCATGCTCTTGTGCTGGCTGGTAGCATATTCATTTGTGTGCACAGATTGTTTCTATGACAGCGGTGACATCATAAAGCAGTAATATCATCCAGCAGCCAATCATCCCTTGGTCATGGTTAACATTCGATTGTTTTGCAGTTCTCATTGCCCAACCTGCACTAAAGTAAAACCAACGGATGAAAATCATCTTGTTAAGGATATGGGATTTGCATGAAAAAGTATTCCTTGCTGCTTAAATAAACCAATGTTTAGAACACTGTCAACAAAACAAATAACATTGATCCAAAAGTCATTTTGTTTCCCCCAAAATGTATATTTTATTACATTTCACAAAGCTTGATAATACTGTTTGGTTTGAATGTGTTTGAAAAGTGAAGCATAATCTTTGACAACGATCCTTACCACAAAAAAAAGGAAAGCTCATTTTGTCCATTAAGCCTTTCTTGGTTTAAAAATCTGCTCACTTATTCCTGAATCACTTTCCATTATGCTATTACTTTTTTCTTCATTTTTCTTATCCGTTATTGTTTTGTATCAGTTGCATTTGCAGTTTCTTCATATCATCTTGGCTTGCCTTTGTATATTATATACCCGGAAATAAATGGTATGTGAATGAATGAGAAAACAGCCTAAGATAAATGGGGTTATTTAAAAAGAAGAAGACGACATAAAGAGTACAATAATAAAACATGACAGTATCGCAATAAATCATAAGAATAACAACCAATATTGTTACACAGAATGAAAGAAAATAAAAAGACAATTGCAAGAGTTAATAAGAGGGACCAGTCATCAAAGAATTGTATATGTAGGCCATTCGGATTCGTAAAAATTGTGTTAATAAAAAAGTAAAAACTTGGTATCGGTTGAGGTGTCCAAGGTGCTCAAAACAGCAATTGGTTTCTTCAATTGTGATGCAGCGATGGCTGTGAGAACATGAATTTGTCAAAAACTCAACTCATTTCATTTTTTGATCCCGTACAGATTGTGGAAGGGTGCTGAGTAGAATATATTTTGACATAGGATATATACTAGTTTTATCATAATCTGATTAGCATTTAGTTAAATAGGTCTGGATATTATATCTAATCACTGGATTAGACATAATATTTGAAAAATGGTACTCAGAGTTTTTATCGATGACTTCTCATCAAACTGAAGTTTGGTATCAAATGGAGGCAATGTAGTTTCGACCTTAGGAGCAGTATCTCTCACTATTTTAACTAAAGATTTGGACAAAGAGGTAAAAAAAAAGAATAGCTTATCATATTTATAGATGATCCAAAAGTGGATGAGATCACTAATGTTCCAGAAGAAGTGATACAATATAGAGTACAGCAGTAAGCTGAAAATGGTAGCCAGGAATTTAAAAGAACTGGATATATTTAGCCTTAAAAAAAGATTAGTATGGGGTAACATTTTCAAATACATGGAGGTCAAGACCATATAATATCAAGTTAGAAGAAGGCAAATTTAAGTTGAAAAACTTCCTAACAACAGAAGTTCAACACTGGCAAGAGTAACTGGCACAGTGGTTAGAGTGCAGTACTGCAGGCCACTTCAGCTGACTGCTATCTGCAGTTCAGCGGTTCAAATCTCACCGGCTCAAGGTTCACTCAGCCTTCCATCCTTCCAAGGTGGGTGAAATGAGGACCCAAACTGTTGGGGCAATAT